TCCACCAACCCCCCCCCCCAAGCCATTCCTAAAAATCCAGTTTCAACGTGTCTTTTGGGGTAACCACTTCAGCTCAGGAAGGGAACTATTTCCAAGGAGGGGGGAGGGGGAGACCAGAAAAAATGCCAACTTTTTTTGGGGGGGGAGAACTTTTTGGGGACCCCCCCTTAAAACACTTAAGGAAAAGGAGATTCTAAGGATTTCTTGGTACCTCCAGCAATGCTCCCTCTAAGCTGTGGAGTCTTGTGAGCAAAAATTCTACTTTGTGAGCGACTGGCATGAAAGTTATGAGGGAGCGATTTGGCTGCTGCATAAATTAGTTTGCTCTGGAGCCATCCCTTCCTGAGCTGAGACAAAAATGTGTGAGCCGGAGGCTAAAAACCTGTGAGCTAGCCCACACTAACTCAGCTTAGAGGGGACACTGAGTCCAGGCAATGTGAGGAGTTACTTATGTACCTCGTTTATACCCCGCCTTTCTTCCCAATGGGGACCCAAAAGCAGCTGACATCGTTCCCCTCTCCTCCTTTTTATCATAATAACCCTGTGAGGTAGACTCAGGTGGGTCGACCTGTTGGTCTGAAGCATCAGAACCAAGCTGGAGTCCGGTGGCACCTTTAAGACCAACCAATCTTGGTATAAGCTTTCACGCACATGCTTATACCCGGAATAACACTTTGTTGGTCTTAAAGGTACCACTGGACTCAAACTTGGTTCCTGTGAGGTAAGTGAGGCTGAGGGTGTGTGACTGGCTGGTTCCCATGTTCCCTCTAAACTGAGTTAGTGTGAGCTGGCTAGAGATGTAAAATATCCGGAAATTTTGAAGCTCGGCAAAAAAACCCGTTTTTTCCCGGAAAAAAACTGAAATTTTCGGAAAAATTGAAAAAATGCTACATTAGCATTTCTTTTGTTTTTTCTAGATTGAAAGTAATTCTGTTACTTTAGGAACATAAAATATGACTATGGACATTTTTACTTGGCATGAAATTATCACAACTAGCATATTAAAAATATAGTGTATCCAAACAATTATTACAAACAGAATACCCACCCACATGCAAAAACAAAACTGAAACCTTTTTATTTTCTTCTGACAATAGCACCTCCTAAAGGAAGAAATGCATCTTGTTCTTGCATTGGAGAGTTCAGTTTGTAACCTAGGACTGGCTTGTCCTCAGTGCACAGAAATTAGATCAATCTGATACCATATATATATATTTTAGAAATGATTTGGAAAATATTTGGAAGCAGGAACAAGAAAGGGAAAAAAACTAAACCTAACAAAGAACTCCAAAACCAAACAAAGGTTAGTGGAAAGGAGGGCCAATATTAAAACCTTTTCATAAAAAGAGGTATATAAAACATATATAGGGGCCCAATTACAACCAATATATATAAAACTAACCATAACCACTCCACAGCTTAGAGGGAGCATTGCTGGTCACCCAGCAAGCTCTCATGGCCGAGGGGGGATTTTAATCTGAGCCTCCCAAATCCTAGTCCACTCTAACTGCTACTCCATAGTGGACGTCTCCAAAACGGATGGGGGGGCTCAATGAAATGAAATCTGAGAAGAACAATCTGCCAGGGAAAGAAAACTGCCTCTTTGTCTTTCTAAACTGGGCAGACATCACCTGAGGCTGGCCTCCCAGAACCATTTCTACTCTCCCCCCCCCCAATCTCCACAATGGCTGGCTAAATTGGGCTGGGAAGGGGCCAGGTGTTGAAAGGGCATGAGCCCACCCTCCCATCCAGACAGGAGGCCTTTGGGAAGGGTTCTTTTGACAATGGCCTAAACCAAGACATCCTTCCAGGTAAGCTGATTAACCAGGCAGCCTCCGGGTATTGTCTCCACACGCTGCACCACCAAAACTGCACCTTCTACCTCCTCATTTTCAGCTGGCCTCTCCTCCAAGAAGCTCAGACTCCCCCTCCTGACAACCCTGTGAGGTAGGTTATGCTGAGAACAAGTAATTTGGCCCAAGGTCATCCATGCAAACTTCACAACTGGGGTCATATCTGAACTCAGGACACCCC